AATAAAATCAAATAGCCTTACTTTCTCTATTGCTAGACCAAGAGCTCGAAGAACGAGAGCCAGAAGCTCAAAAGCTCCCCAAGGCTACATGCATCATTGCTAGAATGAGAGCCCCATAAGCGACAACGTGGAGCGCGAAACCTCCCCATCACCATGCGGAAATGCACATCTTATTGTTTTACAAGGTGAAAACTACACCACATGCGAAAGTGTGAGAGTTTTCCTTTTGTTATATTGATACTTCTTCTCTCCAAAAAAAAAAATCAAATTCTGGACCTCTATTACTTTTATTATTACTAAATTTTTATCCATATATTTTATCTTCGTCCGACTAATTTTTTTTAAAAACACACACGCACACATACACACACACACACACACACACATATATATATATATATAACAGTAAGACTTGCCCTACTGTAACAGTACGATTTTTTCTTCTTATAGAAAAAATCGATAATCTAGGGATTTTGGATAACAATGAATTTGAATTATTTTTCGTTTTTTAATTGGGGAATACTAGAGTGGAAAAAGAAAAAAAAAAAAAACAAATCTCTAGACACCTACAACCAAGAAAGTTTGTCAACTATTGATTGATTGCTTGAGATAGTACAAATTTCTTCAGACCATTGTTTTCCTTGAGGCATAAATTTTAGACACCATTTTCTTCCTCGAAGCATGGATTTTGTTTACTGTATCTATGAAAGAAACAAAAAAGAAGCAAATAAGGATTTTGCCCTACAACTGTAAGATTTTTCTTTTTTTTAAAGAAGTTTTTTTCTAGCTAGGGCTTTTGCGGATGAGGGAGAGAAAGGGAGGAAAAATTGGAGAGAGCGAAAAAGGTGGAGCAAAACTTTCTTCACGTCATAAATTTTGGACACCAGTTTTTTGCTTGAGCAGCAGATTTTTTTTTTTTGGGTCGTAAGCTGGGTTTTGAAACAGAAATGAAGTATCTCTATGGATTGATTTATTTGAGATAGAGAGCCGTTTGATCATTCTATAGAGTATAAATAATTCTTATTGATTTTGATAAGAGATTGGGGTTGATCTATCCCACTTCCTTCCACTTTTTGTATTGGGTTTCCATACTGAGAGTTTAGTGGGAGGGGCCGGAGAGAAAGATGGGAGGAAAAATAGGGGAGAGAGAAACAAAAAAAAATGGGGGAGATGGAAAGAGAGCTTTATGGAAGAGAGAGAGAAGGAGGGAGGAAAAATGAGGAGAGAAACAAGGACTTGAGTATCTCCCTATTTTAAAAGCTTTAATCCTATTCGTCCATTTAGTGGGGACGATGGATGGTTGGCGCTATGCAGAACTGCTGTTCTTATTGATGGCCACCATTTGAGAGCGTTTATTATATATATATATATATATATATATATGAAAAAAAGCTTCTGAATGCACCTAGAGGCTATAATATACAGTGATTTCGCCACCGTCGATCGTACCCATCCATTCACACGTAATGAAACGAAAGGCTTGGATTGGCTGAAAAACCCTGTACTCGAACGGGTGGGATTTGCTCAAATGCTTCAGACCCAAAAAAAAATTTCCCTTTACCCCTCCTCCCGCTTCCTCTCCTCTACTCTGCGAACCTCCACTCTCTCTCGTTCGCCCTCTTCTCTCCTCTGATCCGCCACGCTAGGGGCGGAAAACCCCTCCTCTTGCAACAGACGATACTACCAGTGGCATCATATATATCAGAGCTCTCTATTGAATCTTAAGCAGCACGAGCAGTTCAAGATACAGAAGTTCTTGGAGCATCCAAAATTCCAATTCCAGAAGCGGATCCTCTACTAGCATATCAAGTAGTTGAGCGAGATCGCCCGACCCAGTGGTTTCAGTTAGTCACAGACCCCTTACCTTCGCTATACTCAGGTAAGTGCTCCGTCATATCACTACATTCGTGAATATACTCCAACCTAAATAAAGAAGAAAACCCAATTTTTTTCCAAAACGAGATTTATAAATAAAACCCTATTGTTTACAATGCTATGCATCAAATTCGTGAATTTTTTTACAGTGGGTATTTTTCAATGGAAAACTATCTATGAGAGCACAGTTCTGATTTTTAGAGTAAAAACGTAGGGTTTTATTTGCAATTTTTTAGTTCCTTTCTCTTCTTTTATTGCTCTTTTTTTTTCTTTTCTCTTTTTTTGATGTAGTCCTAAAATGATTGTAGAGCAAAAATTTGGATAGCTCTTTTGTTTTTCTTTTGCGGGTCAATTGCTCACTGCATATCCTGTCACCCTCTATTCACAAATACTCAATACCCAATTGCGCTTTCAGATTCAGTAGCAAAATAATGGTGGGGAATCCAAGGCTCAATCCTAGAAGTGAGGATAAATTACTTGCTCTCTGCTTTTTTCTATTATTTATTCTGTTTATTCATCATTATGCTATTCATTTTCTGATGGGTGTTTGCGTTTTTCAGTGTTGATATTTCGGTATTGTTTGCTAACTTGCACCACTTTCTCTCTCTGAGTTTCATTGTTTCTTCTATATTTTCTTTATCATGACTTGCAGTTCTTTTCTTATTGATGTATGTATTCTTCCTAGTTGATATTTGGGTATGGAATTCTGTTGCTTTCATTAGTCATTACATACTGGTGTTATTTTCTTTAATGGGGTGTTGATTTCTCGATGGTATTTATGAAAACTGTAATTTTCATTCGAGAATGGAGGAAAACAAGATCGTGTACATATTCTTTTTTGGGTGTTTCTAATCTTTTGAGAGAGGGAGAGAGAGCGCTAGAGAGATTTTTATTTGGGTTTTGTGTTAAGAAATGGGGGGGTGGCTTATTGTTCAATATACATTGGGTGTGAGGGAGGGGATCATGCTCGTGTTTTTTTATTTGTGTGTCTGTGTTAGAGAAATGGGTGGTGTGTTATTGTTCAATCTATTTTTTTTCTGGCTTTCATCAGTTTTAATGGGATTGTTTGTAATGACAGTTGCTTTCAGTGCCGGGAGGTTTGAAGGAGAGAATAAGGAAATACTTGTGCAACACTTGCTTGTGGGCGAACAAAGCCTCGAACTCCTTCTAGAGCTTCAAAAGAGGATAGCTGGAGGTTGGGATTTTGAGCTTCTGGTATGTATGACATAAGAATTCGTAGTTTCTTTTTTTCCTTTTCACTATGCTTTCCCTATCCCCACGAATTAGACAATACTATGTTGTTCCCCTTGCTTCTATCGGCCATATTGACTTTGTTCATCGGGTCCGTAGGAATTCGTTTCGGTCAAGAGTTATGGTTATATGGACTTCTTGATGAGAGCTCCCTCTCTACAAAACAGAATTTTCTTTTTTTTTTTTTTGGGGTAGTAAAACAGAATTTGCTTATTGTAGATTATCTAAAAAACTACTATTCGTCTTATGTAGCCAATTTCAGTGACCTCAAGAATTTATTTATTGCGGGTCTCTCATAGTGAACTTTGCTTTAGTAAACATATTGCTGGTTATTCAGTTAACATAATTAAAAACGACAAAAACAAAAACAAGCAAACAAACAAACATATTTCTGGTGATCTCTTTCATATTTTGAATATATTCTTACAGGAGAGTATTTGAGTGATTTTGCAGTTGAATTCTCCGTTTGTCCATCAAAAGAAGAGGGGGGAATGCTTGGCCGTGTTCAAAAGGGACAAATGGTATGCTTTCTTCAGCTATGTTTGATCCACTTTTCATTCACGCCTTGATAGAAGTATTGATTTTGAAAAGAGTACAGGTTTCCAATATGATTCACATTTAATAAAATGTCTTTAGGAATCCTTTCATGCTGATAGATAAGAGAAGTATGGCTGAGAAGTTTGTGAAAAAATTCATTCTTCATTATGTATTTATGTGAAGTTGTGCATTATGTATTTTATGTATTATCATGAATGATCATGAAACTTCAGTAATTCACAAAAGTTGCGTCATGCAATCATCTTGATGAAATTGGTCAGAGACATAGTATGTAACTATGCATAAGCTCAACACCCTTGATAAGGTAGACGGGGTTTCTCCTGAATTCAAGACCCAATTTCATGAAGATGATTTGTCTGCTATATCCATTCAAGCTTAGACTTTGTTAATTGAAGGACTGGACACATGCATCATGCATTTCGCTCTTTATTTGCATGCATTAATGCATGTGCGCATGTGCAGATAGCGATAGATAACCATGGATACAAACATTTTCTTAAACAATTCCTCTGTAAAATTTTGTAGGTACCAGAGTTTGAGGAGGCTGCATTCAGTGCGCCCCTTAATAAAGTAGTTAGATGCAAAACAAATTGGTTGGCACTTGTTGCAAGTGTTATCTGAGAGGTCAGTGAGTATTTTGAGGACCTCTTTGGTAAATAAATGATTTGGTTTTGAGGACCTCTTGTGTTGGTGTATTGATGTTGTTCATATGTTGAAGATATGACGGACCAATAAGAGCAGTTTCCTGGAGTAAAACCAAGGACTAAAAGGAGGAAATCTTCATGGGATTTGCCAGCATATAAAAGACCTATTTATGAGACATGTAAAGGACTCGACAAATTTTTTGAATTTTGGAGACATGTAAATACACTTTTTTGTATTTGACTTTGGGGGTTATACGCATATTCAATATTCATGTAATTTTACAGACATGTAAAGGACCTCTTTATAGAGGCATATAAATGGCCTCTTTATGAAGCATGTAAATAACCGATTTGGTGATTTTTTGGTAACATATGTGTGACATTTCTTTCTTTTTTATGTATGTCATTAATATGTGCAATGTGGATATACTTGGATGGTTAAATGCATTTATATCTCATAGTTCTCACTTTATTTTATTTTTTTATGTCGAGTGTTTGATACATTCTCACCTTTTACCATGCCATAGGGCGTACATAATACCTTTAAAACCATCACGGACCTACTTTGGTTAACCAACTCTCTCATAGGCCTCGGATTTGAATAATCTCTCTCTCTCTTTGTGTCTCAAAAAACAAGCTAATGACATAAACTCAATAATACCAGAAACTATAGAATTTCATTCACAAGATATTACCATTAATTAAGCAATAACCAATTACAATCATTTCCAAACAATTGAAAAGATACAAGGAAGTTAAACACCTCATGAAATAGAAAAAAACTAGATATAAATGAAGCTTCAAAAAAGGTAATCCAATTGAGCTGACTCTATCACCAACAATTAATTTATTTCTTTTTGCTTTCTCAAGTTTTAGTCTCCCATTCGAATGATATAGCGAAAGTTATCCCCTTTGAGCATGTATTCAAAAGTTTTATTGATATCTGAGAATGAAACTGAATAAGTTTTATTGATATCTGAGAATGAAACTGAATGTGTGATGAACTTCTCCATGTGACGTGTACTTCTACTTTCGTGTACTTCTGCTGTCATGTACTAAGAGTCTTCAAAGCTTGTCTGAGCTCAATATGCTTGTTAATATTAATCCAAACAAGAAACAGTCATCTGACTGCACAGGACAATACTTGTACACATGGACATATACACCTGCATGCTATGACCCCCCTACACACTCCCAAGCATCATCTCACATGCACAAATACATATGCAAACACACATTTAAACATTCGCACCAACATATATAGATGCTTGAAAAATAGAGATGGTTCATGTTAAAAAGAGAAAATTAGTGATGAAAATAAAGACAGAAAATGATTTGAAATACAAATCAATTGCAATATTTCTAGACAAGTCATATTTTAGTATCTTAGTGCCCTCAAAAGATTAGAGTAACTTACAGGCCCACGACTTCGAGATCGATGAGCAATGGACAAATAGATAATGCTGCACAAAATGAAGCATGGTCCATCCTTTCAATGTTGTAAAGGTGCAATCTCTTCAAAAGAGCACTTCAAAAGTCCACTGGGCTATGATAAATTCCAGACATTCATGGAAATGGAAATGGAAATGCTTACTTTGACATTTTGAGCATGCCATAGCCCAACGTCAAGGAGTAACTGAATCCCAGATGCATCAGTTTGATCAACTGCCCGCATGGATTTGGCAACAAGCTCTTGCCCTGCACCTTCTACTAACACAATGACCATGTGACCATTTTCTTTCAGTTGCTTTTCTATGAAGTCAAACAAGCCCCCTTCTCTCTCTAGGTAAAATGGAGATTCAGGAATCAAGCAACAGTCCTGGAACATTAGCAGGAAACAAACTCCCATATTAAACTATGTTGCAGGAGAAAAATAGGCTGAGTAATAAATTTAGGGGAAGTATATTGTAATCACTAATGGAAAAAAATAGTCCACTAAGATCATCATCATCTAGTGAAATAATGGATGGTGATTAATAGTGTTGGGCTATCACCAGCAGCATCATGCCTTGTTCTGCCAGGTCCCTTCTCTCTCTCCATTGAAGTCCATTTCATTGGATGGTGATGACCTCAGTGGACTTTCCAAGATCCTTCGGTTTATAATATACTTTTCCATAGATTTATATGAATAGGTTAGAAAGGGAGAAAGTCGTTAGATAATTGCGATGATAAAAAATGTTTCAGTCTCTTACCACATCCCTGCTTGCTAGAGTTGCATACATGGCAATGAATCCTGTAAAAATAAAAATATAAAAAGTTATAATAACAAGAGGAAAAAGTTTATATAAGGTTGCAACCGTACCTCTACAGCTACGGATGCACCTCAAAAATTCATCGAAAAAGATAGTTTTAATGTTGAAAAACCCTTTGATTGATCATCTCGACATCAAGATGTATGACCATGAAAAATAAAAAGATTTTAAGTCTCAGAAATAGTGCATTTTAGAACATATTATCTACACCGTCCATTTTCAAGATTTTTATATGGTTATAGATCTACTTGATTTTAACCATTTTTAAATTTAAAATTTTATAATTAGATATAAAAATAGATTTTGAGATAATCCTAAGAACATTTTACATCAAAATTATATACCATGATAAAATTTGAAGGTGCATCTTACCTCTACAGCTACGGATGCATCCGTATGCCAACTGCACCCTTAATAATAAGCATTGAGGTAACTTATTGCTACAACTATCCATACAGAACTTCACATTCAACCATAATTTCCATACATAAATCCTTGTACTTTAGAAGACATGCAATTTTCTCCATTAAAAACCCAATTTTATTAATCCAAAAAAGTGCCATTTTCCCGATTAAAGTAATTGTACTTCAGTTATGATTGAGCAACAAATAGACAGTGAAAGGTTAGGGATAAAGAAACATGACTTACCACAGTAATGACCCATTAGATTCACAATACCCAGACCATTGTCAATTCTTCCAGCTTCCACATGTGCTGCATTGATGGCTCTCTGAGCTTCTTCTACAGCAGTGTCAAAACCAAAAGACTTGTCTATAACCTATAATCCACGCACCATACCACATGAAAAAACGAACATAAATAATCTCATATCTATATTCTTTGCTTGCATATTTAAACTTACAGCGATATCATTATCGACAGTCTTGGGGATTCCAGCAACCGACACTTTCAAACCACGTCTCTCAATTTCCTGTAATTAGAACCATCAATTCAGCCAAGCAATTTACATTAGAGAGTAATAAGCACTACCACCAAAGAAGACAATAAACATGTAATAAATCTTACAAATTCTTTATAAAAATATTTTGGTACCTTATATATTACAGATGCTCCTGTTTGTGTCCCATCTCCTCCTCTTATGTAGACCTATGATCCCCAAATTAAAAACAATATTAATAATCAAATCATGAATTACATAAATGATTTCCATGAATCAAAATGAATAAAGTAAGGAAAGTAGTTAGAAGTAAACCAGGTAGGATTTCAAACCTGATTAATCCCTTAGTCTTGAATGCTATCAACTATTTTGGTGGTGTCATAACCTCCTCTTGAAGTACCAAGGATGGTGCCACCACGTTTATAGGCAAAAGTGCAAGATTGCGATGACTCTCAACAAAAAGTCTGAAAATGAACAATGTCACACCCCTAAAAAAAAGAGCAAAAATCTAAAAGATAAAACATCGAATTCCATTGGAAAAGGAACAAAATAGTACTAATGATAGTAATAACAACATCTACTCAGAAAAATTTCTTATTAACAACAACTCCTTGATGGATTCTGTAAGTTAAAAATACAAATAAGATCAAATACAAATACTCCAAAAGAGAAAAAGGAAACGAGAACCATTGTTTATTAAATGCAATGACTACCACTGAAAAGGTAATCCTCAAGTGGGCAACTCCAACTTTCAGATTCATGCACTTCAAAGCAAAAACAACAAGAACATATAGTAATCAACCAGGTAACCATAATTATTTAACACGCTTCATTATATAAAACTTCTCTAAGAAAGAAAATCTGGGCAACTACCAAGAAAACAAAGAGAACAGGAAGAACCAGGCCATTTGCCCATATTTTCACCTGCTACAAATTTAAAAGCCCTCGACATAAAAAAACTCAACGTTTTGGGGTAAATCTCAAAATCACAAACATTCCACACCTCATCAAATTACAAAAACATGATTTCTTTGAATATTTATTTTTCTATAAATAATTTTTGCACATTAATTCCTAATATTAGCAAAAGTTACCAGAAAAAAAATAAGCGCAATTGACCTGCAAAAAAAAAAAAAACAAAACAATCCAAATTTTTGCTCTACAATCACTTTAGAACTACATCAAAAAAAAAAAAAAGAAGCAATAAAAGAAGATAAAGGAACTAAAAATTTTTATTTACAGGTACTAAAAAATTTTCCTCCATTCTCGAATGAAAATTACAGTTTCCATAAATACCATCGAGAAATCAACACCCCATTAAAGAAAATAACACCAGTATGTAATGACTAATGAAAGCAACAGAATTCCATACCCAAATATCAACAAGGAAGAACACATACATCAATAAGAAAAGAACTGCAAGTCATGATAAAGAAACAGGAGAAATAATGAAACTCAGAGAGAGAAAGTGCTGCCAATTAGCAAACAATACCGAAATATCAACACTGAAAAACTCAAACACCCATCAAAAAATGAATAATATAATGATGAATAAACAGAAAAAATAATAGAAAAAAGCAGAGAGCAAGTAATTTATCCTCACTTCTAGGATTGAGCCTTGGACTCCCCACCATTATTTTGTTACTGAATCTGAAAGTGCAATTGGGTATTGAGTAGTTGTGAATAGAGGGTGAGAGGAAATGCAGTGAGCAATCGACCTGCAAAAGAAAAACAAAAAAGCAATCCAAATTTTTGCTCTACAATCACTTTAGAACTACATCAAAAAAAAGAAAAAAGAAAAAAACGCAACAATAAAAGAAGAGAAAGGAACTAAAAAATTGTATTTACAGTGGGTGGATCACTGTAAATAAAACCCTACATTTTCACTCCAAAGATCAGAACTGCGCTCTCATATGATTGGCTAGACCTGTGATTTCGGAGTAATAATTTGGTGATTGATTCTGGATTTATTAGGAAATTCGATTTTTGAGGTAAGAATTCGATGATTTGTTGGGAAAAAAACGTAGGTTTTTGGGTTGGGTTTTGGAAAAAAATTAGGTTTTCCACGATAGATATTTTTCCATTGAAAAATACCAAATAATTTCACGAATTTGAGCACTTACCTAAGCATAGCGAAGGTAAGGGGTAAGCATAGCGAAGGTAAGGGGTTTGTAAGTAACTGAAACCACTGGGTCGGGCTATTCATATTCACCTAATCTGGATCTCATCAACTACTTGATATGCTAGTAGAGAATCCGTTTCTGGAATTAGAATTCTTGATGCTCCAAGAACTTTTGTATCTTGAACAGCTCGTGCTGCTTCAGATTCAATAGAGAGCTCTGATATATATGATGCCACTGGTGGTATCGTCTGTTGCAAGAGGAGGGGTTTTCCAACCCTAGCTTGGTAGAGCAGAAGAGAGAAGAGGGCGAACGAGAGAGAGTGGAGGCTCGCAGAGTAGAGGAGAGGAAGCGGGACGACGCATAAAGGCAAATTTTGTTGCGTTTCGAAAGTCCTTTTATATATATGGAAAACTTTGTTAAAAAAGGCCTTTACGCGAAAATGAAAAGGTATTTTGTTACCTTAATTAACGTCTAAATTTTATCGTGCGGTCATAATTGTTTTTGGTAGTATTTTTATTTTTATTTTTATTTTTTTTATAAATTTAAATTATTTGAAATATAAAAATATAAAAAAATATATAAATAAAAATAATTTATAAGATATAAATTGATCAAAATACTCTTGAAAAGTTTTAGAAGTATTTTAGTTTATTTATATTTTACGAATTATATTTTTATATTTTTATTAAGTGCGTCTCACTAAAATATATGCACACTTTTCAAATTTTAAATCATTTCGATTAAAAACTAAAAAATAAAAAATAAAAATTGAAACATTACC